AGATTTCTTTGAGTTTGGAAAGAACATCTGTAGGATGTGTCAGGGAGGAAAATTTTTTTATTTTACCCTTCTAGGCCCTTTGGCTAGTCTAGTAATCAAATTAACATAAGACAGATTAGCAGGAGAAAAAATTTAATTTTGTACAGGAGGTCAGGCAAGTGGGACTCATATGCTATTATGAACTAAGAACAAGGGGTTAGGCTCTCGGACTTCAAAGGCGAGAAAGACAATACACATGGAGATGGAAAAACAAATAGCTGCTGGGTCGGAAAGAGAGAATGGGACACAGAGAGGACTCTGTCTCCGAGCCCTACTGAGTCTCCTCTCCCAATCTAGCCCACACTCTTCGCAGATCCTTCTGCTGATAACGCTCTTCCTGGCCGGGCCCTTTATCTAAATTCTTTTAGGCGGCTAAAAGGGACGAGAAAGCTCTTCCTGAGACTTTTGAACCTCGGTTGTCTTCAGCTCAAATAATCCACATGCCAGGGTGGCCCATTGTGGGGATACTCATTCCGAACCCCCACAGATGAGGCACAGGAGGAAGGGGTGTTGCTCACAGGGGCACTTGCAGCAGTGCAGGCTGAGTTCTCGCGCCTGCATGGGCGCGCGCACACACACATGTCCAGAGCCAGAGCGCTGGGAGTGAATGTGGACTGCAGACTCCTGCGTGGGCTGCCTGCGGCTAGAGCTCCTTGAGCCTATTTCCTGTCTTCCCCAGCTCCATTCAGCACCACCTTTTCTCCAGACCCATGAGGTGGGGTGCATTTCCTCTGGTTTTTAGCTGAAACATGTAGCCCCCTGGCTCCCTAGAGCCCCAGCATGATGGAGAGGTGTCTCCCTTGTCTCCGCTTCTAGAGGGAGGCCTGTGCTTTATCTCTGTCTCCTTCACTCCACAAACCATCAAAACCAAAGGTTATTTTGGCACAGTTTGGCCAGTGCCTTCAGGGAACAAGAGGCCCTGGAGCCCGGCCGGCTTCCTGGAGTCTGTTTTCACTTAGATTTTTATTTCTTCATTCCTTACTGCCTTGTCAGCGCTTAAATACTTGAAAAAGATTTTTTTTTTATTATTCTATGCAGCACTTTTTTGTTGTTTTAAGCTGGAGCAGGCACTGATGACCATATCACCAGAAATGGAAATCCCCCCCGAAGGGGGTCAGAACGGGCCTCCCCAACACGTGCCACTGGGGCATGTGAATTATTTTGAATCGAGACCCTGTGGGTTCACAAGAAACGTTTACCTCTCCCTTAAAGAATTTAAATTAGGGGCTTTGTCCATAATAAGAGTTTTATCTCCAGAAATGACTTGTATGACCTACCTGTATAGCAGGGTAAACATCTAATTACTGAACACCTGCTCTGCTCATCATCCTGCCAATAACCCTCCCTTCTGAAGCCCCAGGCTCCTGACCTCATCCTTAGCTCAGAATGTCATCCACACCTCGTTTTAACTTTCCGTCCCTGAACCTCTCATGTATGTGGGGCCTCTGACTTTCTCATGTATATGACTTTTCAGTGCATGGCTAGTTTTGTTGTTGGTGCTCATCTGTCCCATGTCAGCTGGAAGAACCTAGAAGGTAGAGGAAAGTTCCTTCCTCCCCACACTTCATATCCCTTCCCCATTCCCTCCCTCATCCCTGAGCCTGAGAGACCCCTTCCCATTTCACAGAAAGAGAACGCAAGGCCCAGAAGAGTGTGGGAGGCGGGGAGAGGTCATCTCCCAGGCCTCGGAAGAAGCCCTAGTGCTCGTGGTGGTAGCCAGAGAAACACTCGTATCCTGAGCTCACCTTAGGCCCCCAGCACCCAAACCTTGCCCGTGCTATCATCTCCTTGAGGACTCAGCCCCTATGGGTGAGGGGAGTGAGCAATGGGAAGGAAAGGGTGGGCTGTGACTGGCCCTGTTTGTGTGTGTGTGTGTTTTCAGTCCTCACCTGCGGATATGTTTTTATTGACTTTAGAGAGAGAGGAGGGGAGAGGGAAAGAGAGAGAGAGAAGCTTCGGTGTGAGAAACATCAATAGGTTGCCTCCAGTACATGCCCCGACTGGGAATTGAACCCGAAACCTGGGTATGTATCCTGACAGGGGATCGAACCCTCAGCCCTTTGGTACATGGAACAACCCTCCAACCAACTGAGCCACACCAGACAGCCCTGTTTTATAGGCAAGAAATTATAGGGATTAGGGCATAGACATGGAAGCCAGAGTGGACCAGCAATTAACTTAGTTCTAGGTCAAGCACTTATTCTCATCTATGATATCCTAGCTTTGCCACCAGCCACCTCCCAGAAGCAGGTCACCCCCTTACCCCACCCTCGGCCTCGTTTTCCTCGTCTGTCAATGATGGAGGATAATAATGGTAACCATTTCATGGGATTGCGTGGGGCTGAAATGAGTTAATATACACAAAGTTCATAGATAAGTAGCCTAGCACATGGTAAGGGCATAAATGTGAGCTGAGATGCTCCCCACAGAAGCAGCATGAGAGTGTGAGGGGTGAGAGCAGATGCTATCTGGCCTGGCAGGGCTTCTTAAAGCACTGACCCTGTCCCCATTTCTCATGGTCTCTGTCCCCCATTATCACCACCATCGCCTTATAAAGGCCCCCCAGGAAAATGCCTTGCCCCCTGAAGGTCAGGTCTAGTTCTGTGGGGCTTAGACCTACTACCCCTTTTGACGGCCAAGTCAATGCCCAGTTGTGCCCATTTCCCAGATAGGAGCAGTGAGCTGGTGGAGGAAAATGCCTTGCCCCCTGAAGGCCAGGTCTAGTTCTGTGGGGCTTAGACTACTACCCCTTTTGACGGCCAAGTCAATGCCCAATTGTGCCCATTTCCCAGATAGGAGCAGTGAGCTGGTGGGGAGATACGTGATCTGAAGACAGAAGCATGGAAAGCCCGATTTCAGTCACTCCCCTGTCTCAGAACCCACCTTTGCCTTGTCTCTCTTTTCTTGGAGGGCCAGTAGGCTACCAGGGGTTCACCCCCAAAAGACCAAAGGCCAAAGTGACAGTCAGACCCGAAGGGAGATGAGATATGTATTCCTGAGGCTCTCCCCCCAATCACAGTCCCAGTGGGAAGTGAGAGAGAACCTGGCCAATGGTTCTGTGAGCAGTGCCATTTTCCAGACCCTCCCTGAGTGCTCTCTGCCTCGGCACAGAGATGTGCGGGAGGGACACAGCAAGGGAAGGTTGTTGAGATCAGCTAAGAAAGTATTAGATTGTCACATGTGCAGGAGGAAAAGAAATTAGCCCCATTCATCCCCAGGGGGCAGCTCCAGAGGCAGCCAGCTGAGGCGAGTCTCCACCAGCCAAAACAGCCCCAGAACCTGGATCTGAGCCCCAACAGAGGCTGGGATCCATGGTAAACGATTAGACTATAATAATGCCACCGAGTGGCCTAGTTCTCCATTGATCCAGAGCATCTGGACTCTGCTCACCCAGGGTCCCCTTCACCTGACACAAAGCCAAGGCTTTGAAGATGGCAGTGGGGAGGGGACGAAGGCCCAGATGGCCACCCCCATGTCACATAAGAGTGAGACCTTTTCTGTTTTTTGGGTTTGGGGGGTTGTTTTGGGGAGGGTTGGTTTTTTGTGGGGTTTTTGAGACCTTTTCTTAGAGACCCAGGTCAAGTTCCAGCCCTGCTCCTTACTTAACCTCTCCCAGCCCCTCTCTGAAGTGCAGAAACTCATGGCACATCTCTCATCCAATTGCCGAGGGGTCAATGAGATGGTGTTGGAGCAGGCGCAGCACAAAGCCTGGCCAGAGGGAGTGCTCCATGAGTGGCAGGTGCTCTTCCCTCTTGGTTTCCGCATCTGTGAAAGGGCCTAATGATAGCTCCTCCCGGGGTTACCAGGAAGCTGAAATGACAATGTGCACCAACAGAGCTTTGAGAACGGCTGTGAAAATGTTAATTACCATGACCATGATTCCCTGACCTATATTCACCGGCTCCCTTTCCTACAGGATATAAGCAAAGTGGGCTTCTCGCTTTTTATTGCTAGAGTCTGCCTGGCCTTGCCTCACCAGCCCCAGGCATGCAGTTGAGGCAGAACAGTAAGCGAGGACAAGCAAGTTGTCCCAGAACTGTCTCACTCAGCTCCTCTCCATCCCTGGGGAGCGCTAGTCTGAGCTCCTCTGTAAGTGGTTCCCAAGCAGCAGCGTTTCCCAGGGAAGTAAGAAAACAATTCAGGAAAATATTGTCTATGCTTGTCTACTTTTCATCCCCTCTTTCCTTATTCTAAAAATTCTTTTATTTTTTCAAAGTGTGAACATGTTGAGCTAAAAATACTTGGTTGCAGCTAAGGTTAGTCATATTACATAGTTAAGGCCAAAGAGATGTCGGTGGAAATACCTGGGGAGAGTACTTCTTGCATAATAAGAAGGCAAAGGAGAAAACCTTTTGCACCTAACCTTTTCTCTGTCTTCCAGCTTGGAACATGGATGGTGAGACCTGGAGGTATAGCAGCCATATTGTGATCATAACGCAACAAGCATGAGGGGGAAAGCATATATGCTATCGATTAGGGCAAAAAATAAAAAGACACTTGGTGTCAGACAGGATCTCTGGGATCTTGGGGCCCCTGAACCAATCCTGAACTGCCTACCCAGACTTCTTACTATGTAGGACAAGTAAAGCCACTATTATTAGTGTGGTTCTCTGCAATTCATATACATATATAAAAGCCTAAGCAACCGTTATGATGGAACAACCTGCCACTATGATGTACACTGACCACCAGGGGGCAGACGCTCAATGCAGGAGCTGCCCCCAGCCCTCGGGCTACGATTGCTGATGGGGCCTGCCAGCCAACCTCCTTGTTCCTCCCCCCCACCCCCTGGCCCCTGGGCTGGGACAGGGAACCAGGGGATGGGTGGCGGCGAACGCAGGTGGTCAGTGAGGGAAGGAGGAGGCAGGGAGGCGGGGAGGCTGGGAGGCAGGGAACCTGATCAGTCCTGATCTCCGGCCAGGCCTAGGGACCCCACCCATGCACGAATTTCATGCACCGGGCCTCTAGTAAGTTAATACATAGAAAGCCTACAACATTTTTAAAAGAATTGTACCATCTTGGAATGAAAGAGACAGAGACACCTCAAAACAAAAAGAATCTTTGAGTCTTAAACTTTCTATGGGCAAGAAGCAAACAGACATTTCTGATGAAAAAGAGTTAGCTCAGAAAATAAAACCAAAAGCCTAAAGGGTAGACCCAAGAACCATTTATAGGGAGAAGAGCTGCTGAAAGAGACAGAGACGCCTCAAAACAAAAAGAATCTTTGAGTGTTAAACTTTCTATGGGCAGGAAGCAAACAGACATTTCTGATGAAAAACAAAAAGTTAGCTCAGAAAATAAAACCAAGAGCTTAGAGGGTAGACCCAAGAACCATTTATAGGGAGAAGAGCTGAACCATAATCAAGAATCTGGTGACATATGTTTGACTCAACTTCAGAATTGCTATAGACCAATGAACACTCTGTGCCTCCAACCCACCACCACCCCCTTTTGAATAGGAGTGTTTATTGTAGTTACCTATCTCTGTCTCTCCTTTGTACATTGAATGTGCTGTTCACATATTCTCCGGTCAAGGGGAAATATTCTTGAAAAGCTGTACTGGAGGAACTGCCTCTGAGAAGCCTCATTCATATCTCGACCTGACTTAGATAACAAGATCCTGGGCTTCAAGTTGCTGCCTTAATGGGGTGAGATGCTGTTGAGTTCATTTTGCATATGGAATGAACTGTGAACTGTGATTGCTGGAAGACAGACTATGACATATAGTCTCCAAGAGAGTTGCTGTCAATTTCACCTTAACAGATGGAGCCTAATTCTCCTTCCCTTGAATATGAGCCAGCCTTAATGACTTCCTTGATCAATAGAATGCAGCAGAAGTGATGTTCTGGGATTTCTCAGTTAAATCTTAAGAAGCCTGGCAGCTCCTATTTGGGCTTCTTGGGATGCTCACTTTGGAGACACTCCCTCTCAGAACCAAGTTCTGAGAAGCCCAGGCCACATGGAGAGGGGTCATGGGAAGGTGTTCCAGATGACTGTCCTAGCTTAGCTCCTGGCTGACAGCCAGCATCAATTGCCAGGTATACTGAGTGAGCAACCTTGGAAGTTGAGTTCATTTGAACTTCCTTTTGCTTTTTAATGTTGTTGTTTTTTTTAAATTCTCACCCAAGGACATGCTTCAACAGAGGGAGAGAGAGAGAGAGAGAGAGAGAGAGAGGCAATAATTGCCTTCTGTATGCACCCTGTTTAGGGATTGACCTACAACCCAGGCATGTGCCCTACAGGGACTCGAACTGGCAACTTCTCAGTGCACAGGATGACACTCAACCTACTGCCACTCTGGCCGGGCTCATTTGAACTTTCAGGTGACTCCAGCCCCAACTTTCATCTGCAACTGCACGAGAGATCCCAAGGAGAAACCCCATCAACTAACCCCAGTCCTACTCACAGAACCTACTCACAGAGAGAATGAATTTACTTTTTAATTCACCAAGTGTTGAGGTGGTTTGTTATGCAGAAATAGATCATCAGAACAGCTTTTTTTGTTTATTTGTTTTTTGTTTGCTTGGTTTTTTTTGTTAATCCTCACTCAAGGATATTTTTCCATTGAGAAGGAAAGACAGACAGAAACATCAATGTGAGAGAAACCAGGGCCCGGGCCAGGGAGGAGCCTGCAACCAAGGCACATGCATGCCCTTGACTGAAATCGAACCGGGGACTCTTTGGTCCCCAGGCCGACACTCTAGCCACTAAGCCAAACCGGCTAGGGCTATATCTTTCCTTCTTTGGTGGAATTTTTTTGTGAAATGATAGTGATGGTGGATGGGATTTGCCTTTTTTAATATTTTTATTTGGAAAAATATATATATATATTAGCAAATGGCCCTAGCCAGATGGCTCAGTTGGTAGGAGCATCTTCCCATGCACCAAAAGGTGGTAGATTTGATTCCCAAACCAGAAGCAAGCCATCAATGTTTCTCTCTCACACCAATGTTAATGTTTCTCTCTCTCTCTCTCTCTCTCTCTCTCTCTCCCTCCCTCCCTCCCCCCTTCTTTATCTCTAAAATCAATTTTTTTTAATGTTAGCAAACTATCTCAATTTCCAAATTTTTACTGGTATTTGAAACCCCAAAGTGTGGTACCTACGGCACAGCTCTGGCCTTGGAGAGACTTCTAGATGGAGAGTCAGGGCCCAGAAAGGAGATCTAGGAGGCCCTCAGATTTCAACATTGCCCGCCAGGTTACGGAGCACCACTGAGCAATTACACTATTATCAACAGACAAACACAGGTTTATTGAGTACAAAACTACAAAGGATGGGAAGTCCTCCTGGGCCCAGGAGACCCATGGCTGGGAGCTGAGAGCTCTGCTTCAGGGCCTGGCTGGGAAGCCCTGGAAGAAATCGTTGCACATGATAGTGACGATGGCCAGAAAAACAGCATACTCCTGGAAGTCCACCTCCTGGTCACTGTTCTCATCCAGGGAGCCCATCAGCTTCTTCAGGCCCTCCTCATCTACCTTATCCTGAAAGCAAGAGAGAATGGAGTCATCGCCAGGCCGCTCTCTACCCCACCTCCACCCCAAACACACACTCACTGGCCACAGCCCAGCTGTCCCTTCGAACTGGGCAGCAGTAAGTGGTGGGCAGAGAGTCCCTGGGAACTACTCAGAGGCCCATGAGGGAGAACAGATGGATGCTCATTGGTGGGAGTCTTCAGCTCTCCTGCTGGGAACGGGGAGCACGCCAGGCAACCCCCAAGTACAGGGTCAGCTCTACTCCCCACAGGAGCCAGGCAAGATGGGCATCATAAGCCCTCTTTTGCTGACGAAGAAACTAGAGCTATTGGAGCCATTCTCCATCACCAGCAAGGAGAATTCAGAAAAGGCAAGCTCTTTTTAATGCCAGCCAGAATGAAATCAAATTTTAAAAGTTTGAGCCCAAAAAATATTTAAAGGAAAGAAGGACCTGCTTTATAGGTTCAGAGCCTGAGACCTGACTTTGGGACTATCCAGTAGCTGGTATGCGGAGGGCGAGGGGCAAATGGAAAGTTGACTGCATTTCTCTGCAAATGCCTCAGGGTGCATGTCTTAACTGGACCTTTCTCCCCAACACACCTCAGTTTGGCATATAAATATTAAAAATGAGAGAGAGAAAGATCAGTGTGATCTTGGGCCAGGCACTTTCCCTCTCTGGGCTCTGGTTTGTTCAACTCTCCAACGAGGGGGTTGAACAGATGGACTTTGAAGGCACCGATAGCACATCCATTCTCCGGAAAGCTGCAGGGAACAGCCCATAAGAGGGCTCTCACACGTGGGCCTCACTCGCACTTCAGTGAAATCATGAAGGGCCCCGCCCCACCCCGGTGTCTGCATCAGCAGGCACCCTGGAGGAAGGGAGAATAGATTTAACCGGTGCCCCTACACTCACACACCAGGAGCCTCCCGCCCTCGGCCAGCCCCACTTACCCCTACAAAGCTGGGCAGCTCCTTGTGCAGAAGTTCCTTCATCTCCCCCTTACTCAGCTTGAACTTGTCACCCTCCTTGCCAGAGTACTTGTGGAAGGTAGCGACCATCACAGCCAATGCCTGCTCCAGGGGACTGGACATCTTGGATCTGGGGCTAAAGGAGCAACAGGTGTTGGAGACGCCTCAGCCCAGCCTACAGGACCCACTTCTGCCCTCGTGCCCCAAACTACCTCTCCAAATCCCTCTCTGAATGGGAAGGCAGGGGCTGCCTCTCCCCCTCAGATTGTGGCTCCCTGGGCAGGGACCACACCTCTATCTCACACTGAGGGGAGATGCTAAACCTTCCCCTGTGTTTGGAAGCCACCAAGGGCAGAGCCTCATGTCTCCTCTGATCACCCTTGGGACATACCCTGAGGGCAGGGCTCCCCGCTTTGAGTGTCTGTGGGAAGGAAAATGACAGGGTGACCAGAGTCCCATTTGGCTCCTTCCCAGGCCAGTGGACTCTGTGCCAACACTGGGGTGACAGGTGTATCCATGAGCTAGTTAGTGGGGGTTCACTGGACTAGGGCAGTAACCATGGCTACAGCCTAGGGGTACAAGGTTCCCTGAGGAGCTGGTTCTGTCCTCAGATGAGGCTCCTAAGGCCAAAGGATGTCGCTCTCCCTGGAATCTAACGAACAAAATAAACTGATGAATAAAATAGAACCAGAAGCATGGAAACATAGAACACAGTGATGAATCCAGAGGGAAGGTGCGCAGGGGGTGGGGGGTAGCAGCCGGGAGGAGATTAACCAAAGAATTTACATGCATGTGTGCATTGCCCATGGACACAGACGATAGCGTGGGGAAGGCCTGGAGCCTGAGCGGAACTGGTGGAAGCGGGTAATGGGAGGGGGGAGAGAGGGATATCTGTAATACTCTCAACAATAAAGATAAAAAGATACATAAATTAAATAAACACATGCTTTAAAAAATTTAAAAAATCTAGCCTGGCTCAGCTCCCATGAACCAGGAGTTCACGGTTCAATTCTCTGTCAAGGGCACATGCCTGGGTGTGGGCTCGATCCCCTGTAGGGGGTGTGCAGGAGGCAGCCAATCGATGATTCTCTCTCATCATGGATGTTTCTCTCTCTCTTTCTCTCCCTTCCTCTCTGAAATAATTTTTAAAAAAAAACATATTTTTAAATTTTCTTTTAATTAAAATAAGTGAAAGCAAAAAAATAAATAAGTGGAAGCTCCCTTAGGCAGAAATGGTGTCTCCCTCAGACTAGGTGCTCTTAGAGGGTAGGGAATGTCTCCTTTCATATCGGGGTGCTGGCTCTTTGCAGACAGGACATAAACACCCCCCCATCAGGAAGGATACTATTGGGTTTGGAATTAAAGAAATTAAATGTCCATTGCCCTGGGATCAGGGCAGACACAAGGGTAGAATCTGGGGACACAGGACAGACCTCAGAGGTCACCTTTCCGAAGGCCCTGACTCTGAAAATGCTCGGACCAGCCCACGAGGGTTAGGCAGATCCCAGGATGAGGCCAGGGGAGCTGGGAAGGGAGACAAGAAAACCCCGGGGTCAATCCTGCCAGCCTGCAGGCAACGGGGCAGGAAAAGACAGGAAGCTGTAGTGGGCAGAGCTATGCTGCTACTCAGGGCAGACCCCAGCGCGCCCACACACTTGAAATTCCTGGCTTTTGCTCCTTACTCCAGCTAGAATCTAGAACTTTGCAAAATAATAATAATAATAATAATAATAAAACAAACAAAATTCAGGATTCCTGTTAAAGCACCCACCTACACACCCCTCATACTCCTGGGCCTAGACCTCCAAGAACGACCTCTAGACTAAGACACCCAGACTGAGAGACCCACAGGGGACCCTCAGATTAAAATCCAAGAGAGGGCCTCAGAATCACCCCTAAACTGAGACCTCCCAGAGAAACTGGGGAAGTAAAAATCAAACTGACACTTCACAGAAGAACCACCCCCCCCCCACCCCGAAATGGGAGAGATGCAGAGAGGCCCCAGGCTGATCTACCGAGGAAGCCAGAAAAAGAAAACTATAGGAAAGAGATCAGGACAAAGGGACAGAGGCAGAGACCCGTAGGGGTCCTCCCCACGCAGCCCTCAGCACCACAGAGGTACTCACCAGACCAGACTGCAGAGAGAGACTCGAAGGAAAGCAAAGGGCAAGGTGCTCAGAGCAGGGATTTATACGCTGGCTTCACGGGCCCTCGACGTGGCGTTTTCAGGAAACCGAACCTGCCCTAACCTGATCCTGCCAAACCTGGCCTCCAGCCAACCCCTTCCCCTCTCACCTGGTCCCCTCCCTCTCAGAGACGGGGAGGGGACCAGGTGAGATCAGCTGGAGGAGGGCTCTAGGCTCAAAGGCAACCCCTGGGCCTACCCAGGCGAAAGCGGGTTGGGAAGTGTCATTGGGAAGGGGCAGCCTACGCCCAGGGTGAGGGGAGGGATCCGTTGTTCTTGGGACTTGGAGACTCATACCAGGCCTTGTTCTCATGACATGCCAGTGAGTCAGAGCTCATTCACGTGTCACAGGCTGCAGGCACACACTGGGACTTCACAAGCCTATATGTGAAAGTGTGTGTTTGTGTATGTGAAAGTGTCTGTGTGTGTGTGTGAGAGAGAGAGAGAGAGAGAGAGAGAGAGAGAGAGAGGGAGGGAGGGAGGGATTGAAGCGATCTGGGATCACCCTTAGAAAGCTGCCCCCTCCCAGGCCCACCTCACCTGCTGCTCTTGGTCTGTCCCCAATCCAGTCTGGGCACCGCCCTTCCTGCCAGTCTGGGCACTGCCCTTCCTGCAGGCCCAGCTCCCCTCCCCCCTCCAGATGTCCAGCAGCTTCTTGCCCTCCCCCCCAGCTCCCAACCTCCTCCCAGTACTCCCCCCCAGTCCGAGGTGACTCACCCTGTGGTGAGGCCCAGATGCCCAGGCAGTGACTCAGCAGCACCCTTACCACACCCCTCCCCCAGGGCCAGGGCAGCAGGCGGAAACTCCACACCAGGAAGGAGAGTGTGGTACAGGGACCCCTCAGTGGCCAAGCCTGGGGAACTCTGATTCCCGCACCACAGAGAAGTTTGGACAAGTTCAGACTGAAAACCGACTAGGATCAGATGTGAAACCAGACTTGTCTCTTCCTGGGGGTCACCTTGGTACTTGGGGGCCATATGAGCACCACAGATAACGTCATGCCTTGGAGCCAAATGTCCTCTTCTACACCCTGCACACCATCTAGTGTCCCCTCCTCCCCAACACACTTGAACCTCCCATGCTACTGCCCTTCCTATTCACATAGAGCTTGGAATAAAAATCCTTCACCCTAAGTGTAATGGGGGTGAGGAATGAATGAAGAAAAAACATGGAGCCCTAGCCAGTTTGGCACAGTGGATAGAGTGTTGGCCTGCAGACCGGAGGGTCCCAGGGTCGATTCTGGACAAGGGCATGCACTGTGGTTGCAGGCTCCTACTCAGCCCGGACCTGGTCAGGGTGTGTGCAGGAGGCAACCAATCGATGTGTCTCTCTCACATCAATGTTTCTCTCTGTCTTTCCCTCTCTCTTCCGCTTTCTAAAAATCAATGAAAAAATATCCTCAGGTGAGGATTAACCAAAAAAGAAAACAACATGGAGTCAGTACAGCTAAGCTGACTTAAAATTTATTGTTTACAGTCAAGCTGACAAAACTGGTTCAGACCAAATGGGCTGAAGCATGAGGGATAGATGAAAAGGCCTGAGGACTTAGGCTTCTGAACTTTCCAGTTGTGCATCAATGCCTGGCGATAAATACATTCCTACAGATAGCCTTCTGAAGGACTCAGGAAAGAATAAAAAACGTAGGAAAGAATGTCCATGTATCCAGCCCACCTGACAGCCATCATCCAGACCACTGAACATCTGGAAGATTGTTGTCCCAGACCAATCCAGAGGCTCAGAATGAACGATTGTTCTCAAGAATGTACTTTCTCCCGTTGGAACTCTCAGCGCTTCTTTCTTCTTCAGAACACCTGGGGGATTGCCTAGTTGTGTTTTCTTCTTGCAAATCCTAAGACCCTTGAATAAATCTTTGTCCTTTATTTCTACCCCAGGCCCCCTGACCCTTTTGTGCTCAACAGGTGCAATGCATTGTTTTTCTCAGCAGTTCTTCCATTTTAACTGAGGGCTTTAGCAGATGCCTCTCCTGCTCAGACATTGCAGCTGTGTGTCCCCCTTGCTCTTCTATGAAGCCCAGCAGTGAGGTGCTCGCCCTCATCAGCTTTCTAGCCTCCCCTGCACATACCCTACCTGTCTTGCTTGTTGGGACTTGAGCGTATGTGCACTGCACGTGGTGTGGCTGAAACCCTTTTCTTCTTCTGATCCCGCTGCTCAGGATGTACAGAGGGATCCTGTTGGAATCCCGCCTACCTTTCAAAGGCCAGTTACATGCCACTACCTCATAAAGCCTTCCCCAGGCCCAACCAGATTCCATCTCTACCTGCTCTGCCTCATACAAAGCACTCCTTTTGTCCTTGTGTACTTAGAGCATTCTTCTCTAGATGGAATCACTTGTCTTCTCTTGCCTTCACCCCCACATGGTGAGCTCACTGGGTGGGGACTGGGTCTTATTCATTTCTGCATGAGCAAAGGGTTTCTCCCACACCAGGTGGCACCAGTGTTTATGGTTATTGAATGGCAATGGGAGAGAGGGCACTAGCGATAGTATTTACGAGGCTGGAGGCCTTCTGACCTCCCCAAGTTATGCTACCACGTCATAACTTCTTTTCTGGTTCCCAGGAGTGGAACTGAGACGCTGGGTTGGAAACCAGAGCTTCAGAGAGCTACCAATCCCTGAGGAGAGACTGCAGGAAACATTTCCCTCCAGGGACCCAATGAGCAAACTCCCCATCAGGGAGAGAGGGAGACAGGAAGGAGAAACACAGAGGCAGTCAGATGGGAACTGGGAGAAAAGATCGGAGAAAAGTAGTCACAGAAACAAAGAAAATGTGAGGGAGAAGGAAATAAGATGAGAGAGACGGACAGACACACTGACAGACAGAAGCAGAGCCGCTGATTGCTACGGCCCCATCTAGAGACTTGTCCCCAGCCTAGAAGCCGAAGCCAAAGGGTGCCCATCAAGTGGCCATGTGGCTGAGACTGGTGACGATCACATTAATTTGCCACTAACTTGCTGTGTGATCTGGAGCCACTCCCTCCCCTCAGCAGAACAGGAAGGTTGAATAGAACCAACCTAAAATCCAATCCCCCTTTGATTGTTCACTTCTCCATGAAGGCAGACAGGCAGTGGGATGACTCTGCCCATGCCCAGCCTCAGAAGCCGGGTCCTCACATTCTGTCACACACACACACACACACACACACACACACACACACACGCACGCACACATACACGCACATCCACACACATGCACACACATGCACACACATGCGCACACACACACACACACACGCACACATACACGCACATCCACACACATCCACACACATGCACACACATGCGCACACACACACAGGCACACACATACCAGAGATTTTCCACCAGCAGCTGCTGGTTTTTCCCCCACCTGATTCATGCCCCCTGGTGGTTGATATATGTCATTACAAGCTGCTCCCTGCTCTCTTTCCCTTCCTCTTGTTCCTGTAGAGCAGCCCTTGCCCTGCCCGTACCTGACTCACACTGGGGGAGGCAGTGCTGATTCACCTCCAAGGAGCCTTCCCACACCCACAGCCCTCACATCTGCCTCACATAGAAGGTGCTCCCTGGACAGCCCCTGCGGAGCAGCCCAGGTGGGCTTCTGGGAGTAAGCCAAATGCCTGGAAGCTATTTTAAAAGCCTTAGGATAGAGGCAGACGGAACTAGGTGGCAGAAGTCAGGGGCCAGCCCGGCCGGTGTGGCTCACTGGATCTATGAACCAGTAGGTCACGGTTCGATTCCTGGTTGGTGCACATGCCCGGGTTGTGAGCTCTATCCCCAGCGTGGGGCGTACAGGAAGCTGCCAATCGAGGATTCTCTATCATCATTGATGTTTCTATCTCTCTCTCCCTCACCCTTCCTCTCTGAAGTCAATAAAAATATATTTTAAAAAAAGAAAAGAAAGAAGTCAGGGACCAAACACTGCCCGCCCACCCTTTCTCCGGGGCAGCTAGGTGCAAAGGGAAGTGCCCTCACTGTTGGGGCTCAGGTTTAAGTCCTGATGTTCCCCCTGACTCGCCTTAGGTGAGTGGCACCACACCTCTGAGCTTAAACAAGGATCTCTTTGATTATTCCTCTGCCCTCAGAAATATGCTTGGAAACATTTTCTCTTTTAAAACTGCATTAAATAATTTATCTAACTACCTCCTGATAGCATGACCAGCATGAGAGTGTTTGAACAGTGGATCTGGGTCATTCTGGATTTGCTGTATGTGCTGGGTTTGTGCATGTGACATTATGGAGCACCTACGTATGCTGGGTGATTTCCGTATATTTTCCTCTTTAATTTACACAACGCTCCCAGGAAGCTGGTACAATTTCAACCCACTTTACAGAGGAGGAAGTTGAGGCTCAGGGAAGTTGGCCCAAGTTCACACAACGAATGAGTTGTGACTTAAACACAGGTAAACCTCCTGTATTGCCTCAATCATGGAGAATCCCTAACTTTCCAATTCCTCCTCAGACCAGCCTTGGTCTCTCTGCCCATCCTCTCCCCACCCAGCCACTCAGCCTCATTTCTCAACCTCCCCTGGTGCCCAGGAGCCCATCTCCTCACCTGCTGTCACCCTCAAGGGTCCCCTTTCCTCTCGCCTCCAAAAGCACTCTGGCCTGGATTAAAAAGAAGCTTAAAAGACACCTTCCTCAGATCTCCCATCTCCCTCAGCCCTCCTCTGTGCCACAATAACACCACCATCCACCCAGTGACCCAAACCAGAAACGTGGCTGTCCTCTAGCATCCTGCTTCCTCCTCATTGCCATCCAGACGTCTGGTTGGTAGACCCGTCTGCCTGCCTTCTGCCTACGGCTCCGCTCCCTCCACCTGCCTGCGACTCTGCAGCGTCCCCTTGCCCCTGGAAGCTGCAAGCACATCTGGATTCTCCTCCCTCCCGTGACCTGGCCTCCCACTCCGACCCCTTCTCGGCTCTGCCACCAAGGTGACCTTAAAACTCAAACCTGAGCACATTGTTCCCCAGGTGAAAACACCGAGTGAATCCCCATAACTTTCAGGAGAAGATGAACATGGCGCCACTCCCCAGGTCCAAAGCTTCACTAATGCACATGCCAGGCCCTCCATGCCTGCAAGCCCTGCCTATGCCATTCATTCTCTCGGAAAGCCCTCCTTCAGTTTGCTCCCCTGTCAATCTCCCAACCACCTTTTAAACTCAGCTCATATATC